ACAGGCGAGCAACGAAACTTTGCTGGTATAGACGGATTCACAGGCGCTAAACCCGGGTTCCCAAACCGGTGCGCCGCAACAAACCAGAGTGAAACCACCAGTATAAGTTCCAGATGTGCACCGACGTAGGCCAACTGCTCATTCGCATGCGCAATCCTCTGCAACCAAAATTCCCCCCAAACGATTACATTCATATCTAACAGTCGATGAAGGGCACCGCAGACGATGAAGGAAAGCTCGGTCCTGGTTTTTCGGGTTGAGAATTCGGAAAACTTATGTTGTGTCATTTCTCCCCGACAAAGTTGCATTTCCTTGGAATTTGGTAACAGTAGAGACTTGCACACTTGGATGAACATTGTATATCACCGGATGCCATGGAGTCGGGGAGCCTTAAGAATTGCATCATCCAGAGATGACAATTTTTAGAGTTCACCATTTACGGCTAAAGAGGGAAAGAAAAAAAGGTCAAAGGTTAACTTCTATAGAAAAAAAAGATAAATATTGTGGAACGCCAAAAGGCAAGATAAACACAAAAAGGTTAAGGTAAAAAATGGTAATGCCGGCAAAGGGACTTCTATGCGGCTGGTAAACCTAGTTAGTTAATTCTCAAGAGAAGGGGATAGGAGAGGAAATTTAGTGTCACAAAAAAAACTGAGTATACGAGTGAAATATACCTGGATGGTGCATTTTGGAGACTGGGGAGGTCTGCGTAGTTCTCTCATTCTCGAGATTCACCAGAACCCGCATGGGCATTTTAGCAGGTAGGCTGGTTCACTTGAAGAAAGTAGCGGCAAAAAGATTCACATCTTCCTCCGCTAATCCTGGTCTCAATGATGAATGGACCTAGGGGAATTCCACTATCGCAAGAAGAGAGGATGCGTTGCGGACTTCAAAAATGACTAATCGGACGACATAGTCCGTTAGAACAAAGGGTGAAATGGGGATCAATTAAGGGAGAATTTGTATAGACACAAGTGATTACATTGGCACAGTGCTCACTGAAATAGAGTTGATGATAGGTGTCTGGCTAGGGTGGTAAAATACTTCCGCGAAGGCATTGAGTACCCTCAAACATCGATGAATGCTGACACCAGTGCAAGCAGGTCGTCAGGTTCTCCGCGTTCGATGCTGCAGTTGCGTGTGGGGACCATGATATCCATGTTCGACGACCAGAGCAGTGTGCAAAATCAGTCCCACTGCGTAAAACCAAAACCTACAGAAAACGCACTTCTGTGGAAAAAACATGTTTGGAAATTAATCGAATTAGAGATTTTAAGAGTGGGTACAAAAACCTCAGTCGAAAACCTCATAGCGTCTCAAGGCAAAACTACAGTTATAGTAGCATAAACAGCCTTGCTCCTTTGCGGCCTCCCGGTGTCTCTTCGAAAGTTTGGATAACCGCTTCTACGAAAATGGCTAGCACCGTTCGTACCTATCATGCTTTCGACCTAGCTGACTTAATGACGGCAATTTCAAATAGCATTTTGGAATTTGTGTTGATAAAAATTTTAAGTCTTATACTTCGGACCCCACCGTTCCTCACTTTCTTTTGCCTAGACTAAAGAAATTGCAAAGACAGTTGAAAGAGTGGGAACCCTCCCCAGTGATAGGCGTGGAAGGAGGTGGCTCTGTGACAAAAGAAGTTTACTTTTCGGTAGTCACTGCGCCACCAGCTAATTGTAGGAAGGAAAGCGGAGGTAAACCAAATGCGATCTCCTCCGATGGCAAGGATGGCCAGGCAGTTAGCCCTCTGATTTCTTCAGGGTCCCTTTCCGCAGTAACCAGTCTGCTCTGTTGGAGAGCGAGGTCCAGCAGGGTAGATACGCTGTTTCGTTCACGCTGCCCCATCGGACTACTCGGGGCCGTGGTTTCCGTATCTTCTCTCCTCTCGCTGATGTCAGAGAGGACTCCAAAGCCGCGGGTACGACAATTGCGGTTGTTTTTTGGTGATTAGGTGTAACTGCCGCTGCTGCCAGTGCTACTGGTTGAGCCGTTTCTGCTGGCCTCCCCCTCATAGGGACAGTCATCACGGCAGTGTGAACTCTCATCCTCCGCCGCATCGTTAGTGCCGGTGATCGTGGTCTTGGGGGCGGTTGGTGGGACAGAAGTCACAACAGTCGGAACTACCAAAAGTCTCAAAAGTGCTTACCTCCGCTGATCTTGATTCCGCTTCCGTGACATCAGACTGTGCAGGCAGAATCTGTGGGAGATTGCACGTCTCTTGCTGTCCGCAACTGTCCATCTCATCGGACTGGGAAAGCCCGCCAGGATTGCGGGCTACAGATTCGTCCTCCTTGGAGTCTCTTTCCTCCGCCTTATTGCATATACTGGACAAGAAGGGCTGTGGTTGGGGGATAATTCGGTGCGCGAAGTTGTGGTAGGGGGGCGCCAGTGGTGGAGGTGTTGGTGACGCCGGTGGTCGTGAGAGCGGAAAAGAAAACTGCAGGGGAAGAACAAAAGATGGAAAGCAAGATTGCTGTGGTCTACAATTAGCCGAAATATAATTGTTAAATATATTAGGATTATTATATGGCGGCAAATTTGCTTGAAAATTGATGAAAGGAGGCCCGTTTTGTGGGGTAAGAAAAGTAGGAGGCGGAAGTAGAATAGGAAAACGCACGTTCGATTTACGAGGGACACGTTTAGGCCTATTAGGTTTAGCCTCTTTAGCAGGCGAGGTTCGCTTGGAAGGCGAAAAAACTTCACTCGAGTCAGGAGTAAGGATTGCGTGAATCTTCAAGAATTCAGATGGGACTATGTCGGGTGAAACGAGGTAAGGAAATACCCCCAATGCTAAATGAAAATAAAACATTTGTATTCGATGAGTCTGACAAGGCTGAAC